GAGCAACAGAGTCAGACCCTGTCTCAAAAAAAAATTGTAGAGTTGTTAATAAAAATGTTATGTAACTTTCACTGTATTATGTGATATTTGAGAAATCTGTTAACTTTTAAACATTATGTAGTTTTCATGATTTGTTTTCATCTTCTAAATTAATATGCAGAGTTGTAACTGATTGTTCATAATTTTGTATTTTTTTCCTTAAAGAGGGTTTTACAAATTTTATAAAGCTTCTGGTTCTACCAATCCTTGATCTGTAACTGAGTTACAGAGTATTATTATGCCTGTTTAAATTGAAGTTCAAACAAGTCAAGTAACTTTTCAAAGTTCCCACAGTTATTAGAAGGTAGACCAGACTTTAAAACCAGACTTACTATCCCTAAAACGTTAGATAAGTGTAATGGTTAATTTTCTGTCAACTTGCCCAGACCATGGTACCCAGCTGTATGGTCAAATACCTGTCTAGATGTTGTTGTGAAGGTACCATATTTTTAGATGTGATTGACATTTAAATCAGTAGACTTTGAGTAAAGCAGATTACATTCCATAATGTGGGTGGGCCTCTTCTAATCAGTGGAAGGCCTTAAACGAAAAGACGGAAAGAAGGAATTTTGCCTCTATACTGCCTTTGAACTCAAGACTACAACATCAACTCTTCCCTGGGTCTCGAACCTGCCAGCCTGCCTTACATTTTCAGACTTTCCAGCCCCTACAGTTGCATGAGCCAATTCCTAAAAATAAATTTCTCTCTCTATATATACACATATATATGTATTGCATACATATACTGTATATATGTAATACACACACACACACACACACATATATATATGTGTATATATATATATACCCTATTGGTTCTGTTTCTCTAAAGAACCATGACTAATACAATAAGAAATACCAAGAACTATATGCTAGTGTTGGCTGTCTATTAGTTACTAATTGTATTACCCTGTCAATTCACTTAACCTTCTTAGGCTTTAGTTTCATTATCTCCAAAATAAGGAAATCATACTAGAACCTCAGCTCTATTGACATTTTGGGGTGGGTAATTCTTCGATGTTGGAGGGATTTTCTATGCATTGTAGGATGTTTAGCAGCATCCCTGGCCTCTGTCCACTAGATGCTAGTAGTACCACCAAGTCGTGATGACCAAAAATATCTCCAGACATTTCCAAATATCTCTTGATGGGAAGGAGGGGCAAAAATCACCACCCCACCTTTAGAACACCACTGTATTAGATCATCTATAAGTTATAATATATGTATGTGTAATATTGTGTTAAAGATTATATATACTGAGGCAGCTTTGGAAATTTCAGGAGAAGTTTGATCACTTAGTGGGGTATTACAGAGGTGATATCCTAATATTCTGTAATTCTCATAAATAAATTTTTCTTCAGCTCCTGTAAGAAGGAACTAAAAAAAAAATGGAGAAAGGCCAGAAAAATTGGTAATGTCAAGCTCTTGGCATGTCAGAGCTACAGGCAACTGGAGGGCAGTCAGAAGAATGAGTAAGAATAGATGAAAAAAGTAGAGGGAAGGAATTTAGGGGCTACCCTCACAAAAGTGAGCCTTAGCTGAGAAATGGGTGCCCTTTTAGATCTAGGCCACCACGGTTAATCTGAGCTCAGTACTGGGTAGAGAGCACAGTCTACCATAGGGACCAAGGGTGGAGGTTGCCTTAGCTGGGCTAAGGCTTCTTGGATGCACAGGAATTTCTAGACATCTATATGATTTTGCAGTACATATTGCCTTGTTAAAAGTAATGGTAGGAAAGCTACCAATACTCTTTTCTAAAGAGTATTTTTGGTGGTGAGGCAGGGTAGGAGTGTGGTTTGCCTGAATAAGTGCAAGTCACCTTTAGGCTCCCGTGATTTGAATGACCCAGAAGAGAAAAATATAGCATCCTTCCACTAGATGGTGCTATATCTGACTAATAAACTTATCCAAATTAGGTTTTATGTGACCCTGTCTTTCCCAGCATATTTTTCTCAATCCTTTTGAAATAAGTTGAATTTAGCTATGCTTCAAATGAAAGATATCTGCTAATTTAAAAAAATTTCCATTCTAGTGTTAATTTCCACTCCTGATTCAAAATATATGCATTTCTAGTCTAAGCAATTGACACTACAAAGCAAACCTCAGGCCCAGGTTCATAGAAAAAGGTCTGTCCCTTGTTTTGATTTTAATTAATGGCTTAGCCAGGTGATTTAATAACACTACTACTGTCAAGAACAATTAAAACTTATACAAAATCTTTTAACTTTCATTTCTTTAACACCCTGCTGGCTGATAATAGTCTGAGATGAGTTTTGCGCCTACCCTTGGCAATCTGAGACATTAAAAAAGGATATTAAAATGCTTTTTGGAGCTCTGAAATATAATAGTGTATTCCAAAAGATAGCCATATGACTTGGACGTCTGATAATATAGCACTAGAAAGAGAACTTTGTCATTATACACCAGGCTAACTGGGTAACCTCATGTCAAAATGAGAAGTTCTAAGAGCACATTTAAGCAATTAGCTTATAATTGGAAAGTTGTGCGATTCACAATCACCTGAAATTTATAATCACTTGGGGGAGAAAAAGGATACAAATATCCTTATCTTCTATAACCCTTTAAGTCATCTACCAGTACGTGTGAGCCAAGGGAAAGAATTTCACTGCAGTTGTCATAAGTGGTATTTTCTTTAGGAAGACAGACATTGTTGACTCTCATCAGAGCTGTCCTTGGTTGTACAGCAAAATAGATAAGGAACCCTAGAGGAGGATTGGGGGTGGTGGTGAGCAATGGGTAGGGGAAGGATTACAATTCCACATCCCATTTAAAACATGGTCAGAAGAAACGAAGACAAGTAAAACAGTCTCAAAGGTGGCTAGAATTAAGCAGAGGACAGGCAAAGTAGAAATCAAAGATAGAAGTAAAGAAAATGGAAGGAAAAAAAAGGGATCTCTATAGTGGGCCTTACCTCAGGTGTTACCCATATCCCTCTAGTACTCAAAGAAAATGTTAATAACACAATCATACACATTTTCCATCAAAATAATGAGAGAGAGGAAGGGTGAGCACAAGTGAACTGGCCAGGAAGGTGGGCTACTAAAGCAGATACAAAATTCTACTTCACAGTTTTGCCTGGGGCAAGGCCTGACTGTAAAGTGTATTTCCTTCTGAACTCACACTAAAAACACATTGTTCTTTTTTCTTAGTATAATACAAGCCTCTTAGTAAAAATCCTTATTAAACTGTAACTACTAATTTAAGGATTTAAAGATGACAAGAAGCAACATGGAGGATGGTGAAGACCCCTCAGCGCTTCCACCCAGTAGTTTGCGCACACGTCAGACCACTGTTTACAGACAAAGTTGAGTCTCCATGTGCCTCAGAGATTTCCCAAGGGACTGAATCTCCTCTGTTCTAGAGAAACACTTCCTAAATTGTCACGTGTCCCTCCTTTGGCTCCTTTCTATCCCCACCCTCAAGGTAACACGAGTTTGTGAAGAAAATTTCCTCAGTAAAATACATTTGGAAAACACTACATACTTAATTGCCTTCTTAGAGATTTCTGGTGCACATGGGCATATTAAAAGGATATCAAAATATCAGAGATGTTCTGGGAAAGGAAAATCTACGCAACTGAACTCAGCATTTCCCAAATTTAAATCCCCTTCCCAGTTCCCACCGTCACCCTCAGGAATACCTATTAGCATTTCTCAGGTCACTGATACTCTCTAGGAGAGTAACTGCTATTCCACAGATAAAAGTATTACAACATTTTCTTACCACATTGAAAGGATTGTGAAGATCTAAAAGACTTACCAAAAGGATCTACTTAATATCCTGAGAGTTAAGATTTTTGCTTAAATTTGGCTTCTTGGTACAGTTGTTTAGCTTTTGCCCTATCATTCTCCTAATTGAAACATCATCCGTATTGGGAAATAATTGTTTTGTTACTCCTGTAAAAAACAATAATAACACACAAGAACACTTTATGAGGCCTTTGCTTCATGAGGCATGAACTACGGCGAAACATTCTACATTATAATTTTGTTTCCATTTTACAAAAGTAGCCCAAACACCCATGAGATATTTAAATAGATGAATATATAGGCAGATTTTTAAAAGTGAAGCGAGAGATAACAGAAGGTCTACATTATGAACTGAGAGCATACATATTTATTTCTTCCTGTGGCACCACTTAACTTTAACCTTACCACTTGCTTTGAACTCTGTCTCCTTGCTCTAAAATGTTATAAATTCATTTTTATTCATTCCCGACATCAGTCAGAACAACTAGGTTCTGACTGATCCTTTTCCAACTAAAGAAATGACATATCAAGAGCTGGGATTCAGAGAATCCCTAAATTTGTTGGATGTTTGCAAAAAAATTAATTGGATAATCTAGATGATTATATTTAAGGAGACTTATTAACTTTTTTTTTTTTTTTTTTTGAGACAGAGTCTCACTGT